GGACCAGACGGTCTTCAAGGATTGACACAAGTGTTCAAGGGCCCTCCTATCCGACGGCCAATGCAAGGATCAAACCTGGGGGTCCCACGGGCTTCCCTTCTCCCAGCCATGAAGATATTGACAAGCGCCACCCTGAGCAGTGGGAAGCTGCTTGCGCTCACCTGTCCATAAATAACATTTCTCCAGTACACATCTAATACGTAGCTCAGAGAACGTGCATGTCTTGGATTCAGCTCTACACCAATGAGAACATTTTTACGCAGGCTTTGTCCTCAGGAACAGTCACAGGGCATATGAGGAGCGTCCTCCAAGGAGCTGCAGAGAATCATGCTCCTGAAGGAAAGGGACAGTAAAGATACACAGAGGCTATTGCAAGTGGTGCTGGCTGAACGTAAACAGGCAGCTTCAGTTGCCACAACAGAAGGGCAGGGCAGGTAAGAAAAGGTAAAAACCAAACCAAAGCTAAGGTAAAGCAGTGTGTAAAAAGGAGCTTTAAAGTGTTATCATTCTACAAGGGGAAGAGCCTGAAGAGAAAAGGTAAACTTCACTTAGACTTTGACTCGACTGTCTACCAAATATTTTTTAAGTGAAATTTCTCTAATAATAGATCAACATTTGTTTGAATTTCAAAATTCCACTGTGGCTTGGCACTAAGTTACATGCTTGGCAACCCCAAAACTCCCATGTCCTTCACACACACACACACACACACACACACACACACACACACAAACACACGTTGTTCATCAGAAATAAAACCAGATTCATATTTCAATATGCTTTTGTCTTAGAAAAGTTAATGAATTCAGGGGAACGAAAATAGATGCTAGAAATAAAAATGTGCGTACTTCAGCTATTGTTAAATTATCAAATGTAAATTCCCTTTTTTTGCTGGGTTTCATGAAATGTATGATACTTAAGCAAACTGAAGTTTTAAAATTAGCTGCTTATATGTATTGTACAAAGTTACTTTGGGCCCTTAAAGGTTATTTTCCTACATTCAACAAAGTTTTTAGCATATTACAAATTTTTTATTGTGACTCAGGTTTTGTGTCTAAATGTAGGCACACATATATAGGTACTTTTCTTTGCACATTTGTTTTGCACAATTAATGAGGTGAAACAATGCCCAGGTATGCAGGTCAACTGACCTTTATGATAAAGAAAACATTTAACAAACAGGCCCACACACACAAAGCACGTTTATTTCTTTGAATTTCACTGACCCAGCCCTAAATGACAGATTTAAAGTTTAAAAACTTAGAAAATCTGATGTATTTTTTGGGAAAGTACATGGAAAACAATAAAGCTCTCAGGTAGAGCATAAAGCAAGCCTCTTATTTGCTAAAAAGGAACTTTATTTTCAGAATGTATTCCTGAGGTAAATTTTATTTTCAATACTTGGAGAGACTTTCCACTCGGAGCATTTGTTAGCCTCGAATGTGAGAAGGCAGCTATCTGTTCAGTTCTGTAAGGAATGCTGTTGTTAAACTTTCTTGTCGGAAACTTGGTTTTAGCTTTGATGACACCTAGTGTCAGTGGAATGCAATAAATGTTTAGATACTTCTGCTTTAAGGTGGTTAGGCCCTGCCCTTCAACATCTGTAACTATATTTTTCTCTTCACAAATGTGAGCCTCACTATTTTCAGTTTTGAATGAATAAAAAGATCATGGATGACAGAAAAAGCGGGGTTGTTTAGGGGGTGATTTTTGGTTTGAAGAGTCAACCAATTTTCTCGTCTTCTGTGTATACAAAAGCCTAAAAGGTATTATGAATGTGATACTATCTTCACATGAGGATTTTTTTCCAAGTTTAGTTGAAAATCAGAGGCAAAGCTATGTTGTTTGTAAATTTCAAAAACCACCACAAATAACCTTGCATGAGTAAGGTTTTTAAGTACTGTAATTTTATTTTTCTTACTTTGTATACCCCCACCCAAATGTATATAAGTAAACCATAATACGAAGTATAGTCTCTGTCTATTCAGGGGAAAAAGTTGCTAACAACAAAATTGAACTGTTAAGAGTTGTAAGTAAAAGGATACAAAATACTAGGTCTCCACGTTTTCTTTGTTTGGAAAGTACACATAAAAATTAGTCTTTCATCCTAAAATTATTTGATAATTGATTACTCCACCCCAGTTACTTTTGGACATGATTTTTCTATTATTATATAAAGAAGCTCTAATTCCACCAATGTAAAATGTTTGCCATATGCTAAACACATGCAAATTTTCTACTTGAGGTCATATAATTGATTTGGTGAAACATTTCACTTTCCCATAAGTCTAGTACAATTCCTACGCAGTAATGTAACATTAGGCCATTATTTTAGAATACTGAAGACAGTCTCCGGTTCCTCTCCCTTTCTGACACGACTTTGCTACCGTATGTGCAGCCCAACAGTGACATCTTAAGGCTAAGGAACCAGAGTGCTTTAAGCTAGAGACAGTTTGAATTGGGATCTCATCTAAAAGAAAGGCCATTATATTATCAAGTAGGTCTAAAGTTCATAATGTGATTGATAGATCTTTTTAAGTGCTTCTTTATTTATGACTTCTTTTGCAGTTTTTGTGGATATTTTTAAATTTGCATTAGTAAACACTAACATCTTACATAGACATAATGTATATAAATGCATGCATTTCACTGCATAGTTTATTGACACCCCCCTTGTCAAGCTTCTGTGGAAGAAACAATGAGCCACAGTGGTATAGCAAAAGAGGCTGAATCTTTATAATTGGGGCCTTTTCTGTCTCTTTGCTAGACTAGGTGGCTGTACAAAATTCGAGAAGGGGTGGGACAGGAAACACCACTTTAACATTTAAGGTTTTCTACTTGGGTGTACTCTACCCAATTAAAAAAAAATTGCTTACTTTAATAAAAATTTTACCATTTTATAAGAAAAATTAAATCATGACATGTTGAATTGAAATGGCTGTATTGTAATTAATATTTTGAGACAATTGTGATTTTGAGCTTAAATTATATATAAAAATTATCATCTTTTGTATGTGTTACAAAGACTGTATCACAATGAATAGTACTTTTCAGTTGAACTATTTATTGATGTAAATAAAACTGAATGAAGATATATTTACTACTTTATTAACATAGGCTGTGAATGTACTTAATGGGGTTTTTTTTTTTGCAGTATGAGACCATAACGACTTTGGAAGCTGCTTCATTTTATGTGCAAATAAGTTCTATGAATCTCTATTTTAAATTTACCAAATCAGTGGAATTAATAACTTTGTCAATTAATTTGCAAATGCAAGCTGTATTCTTCCAGTTTTACTTTATGTACTGACACTAATCCGTAAAGGTGTACAATGTGATTAGAATGCATTGTGAAGATGCTTTCTGTACAGACTAAACACAGGGACTACAACAATGCTGTGCAGTGTATAGCAGAGCCATTTTTCGGCTTTGGTGTACTCAACTTTTTCAGTATTTAAAAAAAGTGTTTTAAATAACATAAAAGTCTCTTTATTGTATAACTAATAAAATGTCACCTTATTGTAATGTGTCTTTTGTTTAATATCATGGCTGACTTCTTAATCCATCACAGAGCTGTTGTATGAAAGAGAAAGTTTCTTTTAATCAAAACCAAAGATTGTAGTCAATATCTGAAAAATGTCATTTCTACTATGACCATGTAGTAGTGATCTTTATTTGCACTGCTTCTTTTCATAATATAATCATGCTTCAATCACTCAAAAGCCATGCAAACTAGCCATCTAAATTGATATACATATGATTGAGTAGACTAATAGAATCTAATGGTAAGTATTACAATGATTGATTAACTTGTTTCTGATATTGTGGTATAAACAAAAGAATTGAACATTTGATTCATATTACATCAAGCTTATCTATATCAAATTCCTTTTTAGAAAATTACCACATGACCATAAGTTTGGTCTTATCAAGGCTGTATGCAAAATTTTAAATTAGAATACTAAAGGTAAAAAGATATACAAGTTATATTAAAAAACAGAGAATAGGTATACAATTAACTGCTTAGCAGGTGTTTAAACAAAGTTTAAACATTAATAGATTTCTAAGCAGTATATGTTAATAATTGTTTTTTGCTGCTGTTATCTATAGAATTAGCAAGATAAATTCTTCAATACTTTTTTAAGGGATAAAAAACGCATTTAAAAATGTTCCCAGTCTAGCAGTGGGGAAAATATGTAACTCCCACCTCGTTAGCAATCTTGAATGAAAAATTACTAGATTATCACATGAAAACTTAATAATAAAATGTCACAAACCTCATCAAGTTTTAAATTAAAAACCATGATAAAAATCTTAACAACATTCTATTTTTGCCATCAATAACTTTATCTAGTGTAGTACTTCCAGTGTAGCAGCCCCTCAAAGAAAGGGATTGACACAGGGGTTAAAACAATGGGCTAACACGTAAGAACAAAGGGGAGAACAGTCCAGAACCAGGTGGTGGTCCACTCTTTTGTATACTGTGTTGCCATGAGTCACAACCGAACTATGGCACCTAATAACAACAAGATTAAAACAAATCAATTTTGAAACTGATTTTGGTAGCAATTGTACAATAGTGATTGATATGACTGAACTACGGAATGATACGATGTCTAGAATAGTGCCTAAAAAAGTGGTTTGAAAAAAGAAGAACCTCTCAGGACCAGGGGTGACAGTGGCGATACCAGGAGGGAAAGGGGATGTAGTAAGTGGGAATGGATCACAGGGAGCCACATATAACCTCCTCTCTGGGGGACGGGCAGCAGAGGGGTGGGTGAAGGGAGACGCCGGACAGTGTAATATAAGATACAATAATAATTTTTAAATTATTAAGGGTGCATGGGGGAGAGGGGAGGAGGAAGGGAAGGGGAGGGGAAAAAAAAAAAAAGGAAAATTAGCAGATTCCGGGAACCCAAGAGGCAAGCGAATTTTGGGAATAATGAGGGCAACAAATGTATAGATGTGCTTTACACAATTGATCTATGTATTGTGATGAATTGTATGAGCCCCAATAAATTGATTTAAAAAAAAATTTTAAACAAAAAACAGTAACTATTGATTAAAATCTTGTACCAAAACCTAACCACATCACATAAGTTCTATCCTGGGTAATGAAAAGGCTTTTTTTTAGCTAAAAAAACAGTACTTAATAACATTCATTTTATCTATATTTAATATAAAGGTAGAAATTAGGTAGTCTTTTCAAGTCAAGTGGTCATTTTATATGTAATACAAACAGAAATGGGAACACAAAAAGCTCATTTCTACAAAAATGTGTTGTCATAAAACGATTCCCATTAAATAAAAATTCATTTTTGAAGAAACGGCTTGCTATGTTGTAAGGGAATAAAAGTGAGTAAACTAAATCCGGTGCAAAGCATTTAGGACAAATGTCTGAGTAGTACACATAGTTATCACCATTATAAATGCACACACCACCTTAGAAAAAATGGTCGATCCTTCCCAATGTAAAAATGACCCATGGCAGTGAGTACTGCCCAGGCCAATGACATCAATGGCTAGGTGAGACTGGGAAAACTGTAAGATCACGTATGGCACGAGCTTTATGATGATCCTAAAAGAAAATCCTTCTAACAATTGACTTGGCCAAGATTATGAAGCAGCTCCAATTTACGTAGGAATTCGGTCTCTCAAGTACTCCAGCACAGCAGCTGTCCCTTTCACTAGGGTGGCAGCTCGGGGCACGCGGAATGGGTTTCCATCTAGGAGCAGTGTTCTGAGCGAGAGAGAAATTGAGGATTTTAACGTTTCCGGTAGAGGGCCTTTGCTTCTCATTTTATGTGCAAGGTTAAAAATAAAAATTGTACTCCCTCCCCACTTATTTGTTCTTTTAAAATATAAACATTTAAAGAGATAGATTTACAACTACAATAATAACAAACCAATTTCATTGTCTCTCCTAATTCCCTAACAACAGTATGTGGTAGGTGGCATTAACATTCCTGTTTTATAGGTGAGGAAATACAGACTTAGGAAGAAACATTTCTGAACCACCTAGTTACTAAATCGTGGAACTGGTTTTGAATCACCTTGACTAAGTCTTTTTTCAATCTTATAACGACCACATATTAAATGACCGAATTAGGTTCACACAACTATTAGAATGAACAAAATGATAAAACCATAATGTAAGCATACTGTAGGGGTGAGGTCAGCATTGGCAAAACATTCTGTTCATTTTCTCACTTAAACAGAGAGACATGCATTACTCTATTTGCATGCACTAAAATGGGGTTTCATTTCAGGTTTATTACCTTGTTTCTTTACATGATTAATGAAATCTCTTCCATTTCAAGAGACTTTTTTAGTAATTTTTAATAGCCTAAAAGAGGGAGACAGATAGATGATGCTTCCCAAGCCCCCAAATAGTGACCGTCTCAGAAAGGCCCAGGGGCAGTTCGGCCTTGTCCTATAGCACCTTTATGAGTCAGCCTGGACTTGACGGCAGTGGCAGTAAATGTTCAAACAAAAGTCAGAGCACTCAATCCATAGTATACACTGTATCTACATGTTATCTTTATAGGGTTCTATGTGTTTTCGACATTCGTTTAAAAACTTATTATCTTAATGTCTCGAAAAAGGGTGTATTAATTTGTCTCCTATAATCTACTACTGTAAATTACCAGAGCAGATGCTAGTGCTGATGCCCACATAGAGCAGAAAATGCCTAATAATTTATATTTGTTTAACAAGCAGTAACTGGGTGCGTAGTATGCTCCAGGCACTAGGATACCCTTTTTTAAAGAAAGATCCAGAAGTGGTACACAAATGAGTCCAAACAAAGACCTGAGAGAAATCAGAAGAGATATTAACTCTGCTGAAGAATCAGGAAGGTTTTCACAGGCGATATTGAAATACATTATTGATAAAAACAGAGTAAAGGCATTTCAGGTTCACACAATAGCAAACTCAAAGCATGAGAAAACCCATGCTGAAATTAAAACGGAAATGCTGGCAGTCTATAGTCGGATTTTGTAAAATTATATATGCAAAATTATGGAGTTTGTATCTCCCTGAAATTTTTATACAGTAGAGTTTCATGCTACAAATGATGAGAAAATGCTACAAACAACCAATTACTTTATTTAAATATATATCACAGAAAGGAGTTTCTAGAAGTTCAAGGAAAAATGGATTTAAAAGACACTGGAATCTTTCCACAAACTTTTTGAAGTCCCCATGTATAAGCAAAGCAAAAAATATCTTTGATAACATTTTAAAATCAGAATTGGGATTCTAGATTTTGTTACCTGTTATTTGTAGTAGGATCTTAAATTTGTTACTTCAAGATTATCTCAACAGGAAAACAAACACACATACACATGCCTCCAGCAGATCAAGTTACTGGAAAAACTCGGAAGAAAAGCAGAAGTACCTTAAATTCACACAGTTACCGAGCTCTGGGGGTATTTGTAGGAGGTCATTATTTTGAAGGTCCAAAGTAGCAAGATTTTTCATCATTTTCATCTTCTGAGGATCTATAGATCCAACCTGATTGTTACTAATCAGAATGGTTTCCAGTGCAGGAATACGATACAAAACTTCTGGCAGTATTTTGAACCTATTAGAAAATAAGCAGAATACTTAAGTATATTGTAATCAAAAGTCAAAATCGTTTCCTCAAATAGACTGTCTTTAGACTGACATAATGAGGCAGTGTTTTCTTTAGGGCACATTATTTTATATTTGGTAGTAAGTTTTATGTTTCAAATTTTACAGAAACAAGGACACATTTTCTCACACTGATATAAATGTTGAGTGGTCAGATTTCAAGTACATTTTACTTTATAAAATAAAAATTTAAGCCTCTAAAAATAAATAAATAAATAAAAATTTAAAAGCCCATAAATTTCCCCACACTGTTTTATTCGCATGTAGGAGCAAAAGAACTCCTCTTGAGAGTCACTCCTTGCATCCACATTTTCTTAGCTGACTTTTACGTCGTAGGAAACAAAATCACTGGCTATATATTAAATATTTTTATTGACTAAGTAAAAAAACTAGAGCTTTATATTGTGCTTTGAATATTCCAAAATGAATGCAGTTAGTTCTAAAAAAGCTTAGGATAGGCTGCCAGCTAGCCTGTCCAAAGCGATTGTAAACATGCCACACAAGATGGGGCTCAGAGCAGTACGAGGAAATCAACACAAAATCTTTGAAGACCCCTTGAGAGACAGAGACTAGCAAGATTTCAGTGTGAATGAAGCAAACTGTTAGGAGCCCTGATGGCATGGTGAGTTAGGCCCTGCAAGGTCAGCACTTGGAAACTAAAAGCTGCTCCACAGGAGAGAGGAAATCTTCTCCTGCAGTTACAGCTTCAGAAACACACAGGCACATTTGTAGTCTATCCTCTGGTGCTGCTATGAGCCCGAATTGACTCGATGGCTACAAATTTGATTTGGTTTGGTTCAGGGGCAAACTGTTGCCTGGAGTAGACAAGATAAAGATGGGGTAAAGGACAGCCTTTCAGTTGTGGTCTTTCCACTGCCTCCTGTTGTCCTTCCACTGCAACAAAGTAATAGTGAAAAGTAACCTCAAGGCAGCTCTGAAGTTCCAGTGAGAAGAGAGCCAATAATCAGAAGTAGAGATGAGCTGAAATACCCCTGGATACTCTCTAGTCTTCTCTGCAGATAACTATAAAAGACATAACTCATCTGTTAAAACACAAGTTAGTATTCAACTCTGCCTTTTCCCCCAGAGACATTACTTACCCAAGCAAGCTCAGTAGGCAAATACATGTATTCTCAAATAAAACTTACAAGTTGTCTGCAAAGTGCATATATCTTGAACTAGAAAGACAATGATAATATCATCTATGCACAAGAGGGCACAAATAGTGAAGCAGAGAGAACAAGAATTACAATAAGCTTAATAAATATTCTAAGAAAAATAAAGAATTTGAGAAACATAGGTCAGAAATAAGGAATTATAAAAAAGAACTAACTAGAGTTAGTGTATAAAATCATCATTGCTGAAATAAAGACTTCAAAAAGTAGTTGACCAACATAACATATCTATAAAAGTAGACATGTCGATATTCATCTAAAAAGAATCCAGAGAAAAGAATTACTAAATACGAAAAGGAAATATTTGAAAATGCAATGATCAAGAAATTTCCAAAATTGAAAAGACTAGTAGTGTGCCAAGAGGGTGGAAACAACAACTACCAAAGGGGGGGGGGGGCAGGTATGTTACATCTAAGCCCCTTTTCTAAAGTTTGTGCTAATGGTTGACTGCTGTTACCAACAGTTCCCAGAGAAATATATTACCTACAAAGAGTAACAAGCAGGTTGCACCAGACTTCTCGAGGGCAACAAAACAATAAACTATTTAAGTGTGTGGAAACAAAATTACTTTGACCCTAGAACTCAACCCTCTGAGGTAAATGGCAAATAAAAGATATTCATAGTAACTGATGATTTCATAAAATTTACCATATAATGACTTCTGTCATAAGAATACTTTCTGAGTGTGTGCCAGCTAAGGAAAAATGAGTCATCCAGGAAGAACCATAGAAGCATAGATGAGTAAAGAACATAATAAAGTCTACAGTATCTAAGCAACAGAAGCAAACTGTATCAACCTAATTAAACGAGAAAAGGTGAAAAGAAGAAACAGAGAAGCAAGGTAATTATGAAACAAAATAAAATGGAAAAATAAGTACTGATATAACAGTATTTCAGTGTAATGGGCTTAGCCACTCAAGATACAGAGATTCTTACACTAGAGTAAAAAAGCCTGGTAACAATATCTTAACTACATCACATTGAAAATAAAACAATTCAGAAATGTTAAAAATTGAAGATTGGAAAAGAGACAAACAAGACAAATATGAAGCAAAGGATATCTGGCATAGTCATTTGACTATCAGTAGAAGAAACTTTAAATAGAAATACTTAGAAAAGGACAAAGAAAGTTGATATGCACAACATTATCAGCTGAGGTGGCAATCGTTAGCAAAAAGCCCTGATAGTAAATCTTCAAAATACCTAAAGCAACAGTTTGACAACTACAGAAAAATTGATCAAACGACAATGGCAATTGGGGATTTTAACATAGTCTTTTCAAAAATTGAAAAAAGGGAGGGAAAAAAGACCAAAGACAAGATTTAAATAGGACTATTAAAGATAATTTGATTTGTTCTATTGACAGAAAACATACCTAACACATAGACAATATATGTTCTTTAATAAACTATGAAAACCAAACCAAACTCACTACCATTGAGTCAATTCCAACTTATAGTGACCCTGTAGGACAGGACAGAACTGCCCTGTGAGCTTCCAAAACTATAACTCTTAACAGGAATAGAATATCTCGTTTTTCTCCCATGGAGCAGCTGGTGGTTTCAAACTGCTGACCTCGCAGTTAACAACCCAACAAGTAACCACTATACCACCAGGTCTCCAGATAAGTTATGGGGAGAATCTTAATAAATTATACAGACAGTATCCTATATACTACAGTTAAATCGGATATCAATAACAGAAAGATTTTTTTAAAAGACTCCCATATTTGGATATGAAAAACAAAAACTAAAATCACAAAAAACTCTTAGGGATGAAATCTAAAACTGCAAAATATTTAGAGCTGGATCAGATATAGATATTCTTTAACATTGGAAAAGTTGGCAGCTACACACATAGCAATCATCACATGCAAAGGAGAAATGTTTAACCATTGTTAAGAAGATACCTTTTTTTAACAATTCAATTGTACACTACTGGAGGCCCTCCAGAAAGCAGTAAGACAGTAGAAAAGAAATAAGAGGTATATGAATTTAAGGGGGTTGGGGGCACTGTCCTTATTTACAATACAACCAGACAGTGGTAATAAGTATAAAGAGTGTCGACTGAGATTAACTTGATATGATTAATGCTGTTTGCTGTTAGGTGCCATCAAGTCAGTTCTGCCTCACAGTAACCCTGTATACAACCAAACAAAACACTGCATGGCCCTGAGCAATTGATATGATTGGAATGATTAGAAAAAATTTTAATTTCAAAAATTTTAAAAAGAAGAAGAAATGCGAGGCAAAGTAAACAGGTGACCATAACAATAATGGGAATCTACAAGGTGGTACCGAAAAAATCCAGGAATTATGCAAGGTGGAGCGGAGCTTTTGTAGTATGCATCTTTCCTGTTAGGTGAGCATTGAGCAATTTGCTGAGTTATTGCACCCAGTAGCGTCTCCTGGGAAGGTTCTCTTTGGTCACAGTGAATTTTTTCATAAGAGTAGTTTCACTCAAACCTCGTTTTTTGTGATGGCCGATTTAAGAGAGCAGCATGCGGCCATGACAGTTTGTTTCCTGCTCCAGAAAAATGCCACAGAAACTATTCTGATGTTCAACACAACCGACAAGGACAGTGCTATGGTAAAAACTCAAGTGTACGAGTGGTTTTCTCATTTCCAAAAAGGTGAAATGTCAATTGATGACAAACCTCGTTCTGGACGTCTGGCAACTTCCCGATCGGACAAAAATGTTGACTTGTACAGCATTTGGAGTTTGTTCCCCAAATTCTGACTGTTAATCAAGCTTTCTACTTAGAGGTTCTGAAAAGACTGCTTAACAGTGTGTGACCCAAAAAAAAAGCCTGATTTGTGGCAGACGGAGACCTCTGGTTTGCCCACCACAACAATACACCTACTCTCGCCTCACGTACCTTACTAACCTGACCTCGCTCCATGTGACTTGTTTTTGTTTCTGTGTATGCAGAGGGACATGAAAGGACAGCGATTTGACAATATAAAAGAGGTGAAGCAAAAAACGAGGGAGGTGCTGTCAGTCATCCAAACAGATGAGTTTGAAAAATGTTTCCAAGAACGGAATCGCAGATTTGACAAACATATTAAGTGTAATGGAGAGTAATTTGAAGGTGATAAAGCTGTTTTGTAAAAAATTTTAACACATAGATTTGAAAAAAAATTCCTTTTTTGGGGGGTATCCCCTCATATTCTTCTAGCTAATCATCAGTACTGCCTGATACTGGCATACAGTGAACCCTCGCCACTTCGCGCTTCGACTTCCACGGCTTCACTCTATCGCGGTTTTTGCGTAACAGTGCATGCTCTGTCATTACTGCCACTGATTGGCTCATACTGTACACGCTTCTGTCTGCATCGCTACGTATCGGAGCTATGTATCAGATGC